AAGACAAGTGATGCACAATGCAGTTGCTCGTCACCTGCTGACTGATGCCGAAGCAGCGATCCCTGAGCAGTGATCGGCCCCTCCCAGCCAACTCCCCCTAGTTTATATACTGGACATGCTGTTCTATGGTATGGAATATCCCTTTGGCTAGTTTGGATCAGCCGTCCTGGCTGTGCTCCCTCCCAACTTCTTGTACACCTGCTTGCTGGCAGAGCATGGGAAACTGAAAAATCCTTAATTCGAGATAAACACTACTTAGCAACAACTAGAACATCAGTGTATTATCAACATTATTCTCACACTAAATCCAAAACACAGCACTGTGCCAGCTACTAGGAAAAAAATTCACTGTATTTCAGTCGAAATTCACTCTATTCTAGCCAAAACCAGGACAAGCCAAGCAACCCATAACTTTGATAAATTAATCTTTTTATTTTGAACAGTGACAGCTTATATTTCAACTTATCTGACTTTTTGAGATGTATCAGATAATATTGCAAAGGTACCTTTCGGGTGTTCTGTAACTAGTATTTAGGTTTTGATTACCAAATAGTTGCTAATGCTTACAGAGCATGACCCTGTAAGTAAGTTACGTTGGAAATGTAGATCCTAAATGTATTTTACATTTTATTTTCTATAGCCTAGGCGTCTTCTTGTAGACACTAAAAAAATCTGTTTCCTAATTTTTATGCAGAAATCTGTTTCTTAAATTTTGAATTTTTCTTGCATGCTTCAGAGTATGCCTACTTCACATAATGAGTTATGGATAAGACAACGTTACAGCAAGAATTCTCCTTGTGTTGCTTAATGTGACTCTGAGTATACATAAGAAATAACTGAACATATGCACAACAATAACTAAAAAATCACTTCACAAATTAAGCACAGCAATTGCTAAAAATTACTGTTGGATCATCTGTTGTCAGGTGATAATTTCATCAAATTGCAAACAATACATCTGAAAATGTTCAACGAGCCCTTCCATGATATCAGAATCACTTCTCTCTTAGTTCTGTTGAGTTTTATAGAACGATGGTACTTTTTTCAACTTTCTTTATTCTAAGAATATCAATGTTCATGTGAAAACTTCACCAAAAAAATTAACAGTAACCATGACAGGACTAAGATCCAGGGTACCTTGGAATACAAACCTTCTGTGTTTCCTTTGACAAATAACCTGAAGCCTTTGTCTTGATTCTTCTGTAAATAATACACCTTCTCAGAAGGAGGTTAAAGAATTACTGCTTGAATACTTCATGAGCCATGAAGTTTTTATTGTCTTGTATTTGAATGCTGTTTATTAGCAGTAATTGAAAGAAATTAAATTTGAAGTCAGTCATTTATGTGTGTTTTTAAATTGCGGTTGTGGAATGAAATTCAGTGAGAAAGATGGTCCAGTTGTATTACGAACATATTCCTTTACCTAAATTTTCCAAGCTACATCTCCTCTAGATGAGTCTGTAATACCAAGATTCGTATGTTTATATTTTGTAGAATTCCTGGCAAAACCTACATGATAATAGCATTTTTAACAGTGGGAACTATGGGTTTGTCAAATACCTCTTTAGGATATCTGAATTACCCTACTCAAGTCATCTTCAAGTGCTGTAAGCTGATTCCAGTTATGATAGGTGGGGTTTTTATACAAGGTAAGTGTTAGTCTTGCTATTAGATGATTTTTTTGTTGTTTCTTGGGGAGGCAGTCGTGTATGGAATCCTGTACTTTGTTAAATTCCACTGAGGCTCTTGGATAGAGCAGGACAGGTGGCATTTTTCCTGTAGGAGGAAAAACGTGAATTTTTTAAGCATTCTCTCAGGCAGTGTACAAGTACAATTAGATGAACAGAAAATGTGGGAAAAAGAAGTTCTACAGGTCAGTTTTATGCAGGCTTTCTTAGTTTTTAAGTAATGTAACTTTGTTTTCTAAACCAAATCACTTCATAAATGAAACATTTTCACTACTGAAATGGAAAACTTGAAATGGAAAAAAAATCCAGCCATGATTTATGAAGAAATCCCCTACTCTTCTTGTTTGAAAAGCTTGATTCCTAAATTCCTAATTAACATTCTAAATTTTTATATAAACATTTAATCAGAAATGCGTCTGACTTTACATGTCTCTGGCTAGTCCTAAAGTCATAGTTCGTATTCCAGGAACAGAAAAAGGGATCTGGAGAACAACAGATAAAAACTATAGTGATATGAATAAACATGCTTCAGTATTTCTCGATTTAGAAGACTTAAGTATATTATAAAAGTTCCTGTTTGTTCAATACATAAGCATTCATTTTGTCAGTAAAGCTCTGCGTGGGTAAGTGTTACGGAACAGAATCTAGAATGATATATTTCTGTTTCTCTAGTTAATTCTGGCCGCCTAGTTGCAATAGAAAGGGCTGAACTTTCAGAGGAGGTTACAAGTTTACGTGTGAACATATGTGCACAGTATTTACCTTTTATTTTTACCTATTTATTAGGAGTCATTTTGTGTCATTTTGTATCCTTTTAGTGCAGACTGGTATTCCCTTAAAGTTTTGTGAAACTTTATATAGTGTTGTAGTAGTGTTGTATTCTCAGAAGCTGTGATTTTGTTTTTTATTACTATTATTATTTTTTAAAAATTTCAGTTAAAATTTTCAGTTCAAAAAAGTTCCCTTGGAAGATTATATTGAAAGTACAGCTTCTGGGAAAAGAGTATGTCAGTTCAAACAAGATATGCTAACTCCTGCTGTTTCATTTCCCTACTGTCTTTCCACCCCCCTTTCACATCCCATCTCTCCCAAACTAAAAGACAATGTAGGGTTCTAAAAGTACTCAAATCATCTCTTAGTGTTTGGGAATGGCTTCTCTCTAAATAATAAAGACAGACAAAATGTCTTGCATGAGGGAAAAAATCTTAAGAAAACATCTAAGTTGTCCTGAAGTTGCTGAGATGGGAGGATGTGCTTTATGTCATTCAGAATGCTTTATGTCATTAGGAGTAAAACTAAAACTGACCACAAGAATCAGATATTATCTGTTAAGATCCTCTTCCATGTTAGGAACTGCTGTTGTAGAAGAAACTAATTCCAGTCATGAAAGGCCAGAGCATGAAGTCTTCTGCTTAAGTAAAATAATGACATTGGAACAGTTTTTCTTTTGCCTTCTAGTCTGCTAAACAGGATAAACATGAAATTCTGAGAGTGTTAACAGTCCATTCATGTTGTTTGTATTGCTTTTGTAGGAAAACGTTACAATATTGCAGATGTGTCTGCTGCCCTATGTATGAGTCTTGGATTAATATGGTTTACTTTAGCTGACAGCACAGTTGCACCAAACTTCAACTTGACAGGTAAAGATATATTATGTTTTACAATTTAACAAAATGCTTGTTTTTTTCCTACAATAAGCGTTCCATAGAAGTTCTGAGACTTCTTGGTGGAGTGTATTCAGATATCATATGGAAAATACAGGTTTCATTGTTACTTTGCACTAGCAGAACTGTATCTGTGGCAGAAGAAGCCTTTATTCTAAGTGTTAGGTTTTAGGTTCTTAAAATTTCTGGAAATTCCACCCTTTAGGTTGGAATGTCTCTGCTTGTTCTCAAGAATTACTTACTTCCCAGTAGAGATGTTAAAATAAATATGATAATATGCAGTTTGACCATTTTAAAACTTCAAAACATTAGTTGTCTTTTCTAGTTAAAGGTTTAAGTCTTTTTCCATTTCAGAACCATTTACTGTATATTAATTGTCAATCTCACTCAGATTTGCTGTAGTTCTTAGTTGGAGTGCCCACGTTCTAATTTCTCTATACTGTGTAAAATCTGAAGCAAAGAAAAGATTTTAACCTGCTTGGGTTTAAAAACTTAGTTGAATTTCTTTCTCAAATGACAAGAAAGATCTGTTTATTCATAAAATCCATGTTATTTACTTGGCCAGTGTTTGGATTAATACTGAACCTTGAAAAAATTTTGAGTATTCAACTTTTAGTGTATTCTTCTTTTGAAATTCTGAGATGAGTTACGACAACTGTTATGACAGATGTTCAGTGTGAAACCTTTGTTTTTTAATAGTGGATGCACTGATTTAGAAGTTTTGTTCCTAAAAATAGTAATAAGTTCTGGGCTTTAAGGAAAAGACTTTTTATCCCCACGAAGTATTATTGCATCTAGTGTTAGTTATGATCAATTTGTGATGTTGTCTAAACTATATTTTACCTCACATATAAATTAATTCTCATGCCTTTTGATGTAATTTTAGTGCTACTGGTAGTGGAAGAAATTACAAAAATCTGTGAATTATATAACCTGCTCTGCATTTAATGTGATTATGTGTGGTGTTACAGAGTGAATACTTGAAAAAAATACATACTTTGAGTACAGTATGATGTTGGTAAGCATGCAATTGTATTCTAGTGTTTCTGATGTATAGATATATGTTACCATTACAGCTATTTTTGACTATAGCCTCTAAGTGCATTCACATGTTAATATATTCCTTTTGTAAAATTTGAATTGTTTTAAATATGTGTTATGACTTAATTCTGAAAAGATTTGGAAAGTTGATTCTTCAACTGAATGGGATAAGGTGATGTGCAGCAAATGTAGCAAAGCCCTGTCTTCCTGAAAGATCTGCAAAACAAGATAAAAATCTTTAAATATCTTCAGCAAATAAACATGGTTGTCTTTCATTACTAATTTATTTTGAACACTTCAGACAAGTCTGTATATATTGAAGCTTAGAGCAGTACCATTTGGAGGAAGTTAGTTCTGTGAAAACAGAATATAGAACTAGAAATCAGAAGTCTGGATCTCCCCTTAGGAAGGTGATTCAAAATTCTCCTGCTCACCTTCTGAGAATGTTCTTTCTGTATTTCTCTATTCCCTGTTGCCTGTTTTGTTTTATTCCCATGTCACTTAATTTAACCAGAAGAAACTTTTCATAATGGGAAAGATGGAGTTTTTCCATTTCTTGGATGAATTATGGAGATAGATGGTCCCTTCCTTCAAGAAGTGTTCTGATTTGCAGAAATACATAGCTGCCGAAGTGTAAAACCAGTGATAAGAAGTATTAAAAACTGCTCACTCTGCAAAATGGCATATTCTTTTCAATAATTACACTTTTCTTGAGGTAAATCACAGAATAAGAACTGAAAGCAGAGAGACAGAATTTAATTTTGTATCTTCATAGAATATCTTCAAATAAATAGCAAAGTATTTAAGGATATGAAAACTTTCAAAAACATAAATGGCAAACAGTTAAACCTCAGAATTACTGTTTTCTGCAGTTGCAGTTTTATGTTACTGCCTAGTTACTGCCCCGTAAATTCCTGAGGTTGTTCCAATGATTTATACACGTTTATGTAGAATGTTTCCATGCAGACTAATATGATTCTAGCATGATTTCATAGAACTTCTACTAACTTGTGAAGGACAAAACTGTTTACATTTTACAGTTCTAAGAGAGCAAAACTGTGCTGTGAAGTTAAACCAAACACATAATCTTTATTGTCTGAAGCAAATACTAAAAATGGAGCATGAGCAGACATAAAAGTACTGTCTGGATAACAATTTTATAGTCCTTCCCCCCCACTCCCGCTATTGAAATCCAATCTAAGTATTGCTGGGCCAAAAAAGGAATCTACATAGATTTTGTTTACACATGAAAGAAGTCAGCCAAGAAAACAGAAACTCTCTTCTGCCAGAACAGGTACATATTTGTAACTAAGGAAGAGGTATACTTTTCAAGATGGAGTTGGTGCTAAGAGCTCAAAGTGTCTCCTAGCATTATCACATTGGAGAGGTAGTGGTAGATATTCTAAATAGCTGTGAGTAATAGATACAGCACTTCCAGAAGAGAAACCAGAAGACAGAGGTGTGCAGAAGGAGACAGTCTTGAAACATTGGTGCTACAGGAGCTTCTGCTGTTATGGCATTACAGGTGTAAGTGGAAATTTACTATCATGAGTGAAGACACAGTGAAAATATGAATTGCATGCAAATTCTTCCACCCTAGAGTGTTCATACAGGTGCAGTTTAGTCTTTTGCAGACAGAGGTGTTTTGTCCTTAGCTTCGCTGTTGTTAAGATGATATTACTTGGTTAGCTAACTCTTCTGTGTCTTCTAACCTTATGCATGGCAGTCTTCTAAAATGTGGAGCATCGAAGAGCTCTTAATGGGCAGGTGGTAAACTCCAGACAGCTCACTAGTCTAACACATTTGCGTGGTGGGGATTGCAAGTGTGAGAATGTATTGTTGAGGAATTTATATAAATATCCAATAGCTTATAAATGTATAAGCAGTGTTAATATTTTAATGACTTCAGGCATTACATTAATAGTGTAAAATACAATGTAATGTAGTGTTTCAATCAAGTCTGTTAGTGCAAGACCTCCAGGTTTAATTTCTTTCAGAACTAATTTAGGACCCATTCATCCAATCATTTTTACTCATGCTTTACATAGTACATAATGTTACTGGTGTCGTTCATGGTTTTGCTGCTGCTGCTCGGCACGAGCAGTGCTGTCACAGTGGAACAATTCTCTTCATACTCCAAACTGTGTGTGTACATAATGTTTGTCTTGTCCCTACATTTCTCCTTTCCATGTGCACTTGCATGTCAGATTCCAGGTCCCCTTTTCATCTCAATCCAGTACTCAACCCATGCATTTGTCCCGTGATGTGCCTGGGCCCTTAAGCACTGCTGGAACAAGCATGATAGAAAACACAGGTGGAGGCATACTCGGACACTTTACTGAAGTGATCTGCATCAAGGCTATTGCCGAGCTGGAGGTGTTATTATACTTTTGGACCAGAGCTGAATCCATCTAGTTAATACATCTATACTGTGGTCTTTAGCATAACCAATATTATTCAGGTTATCATGTAATTTCCATTGAGTCATAGCTTTTCCAATGCCTGATAACTTTGAATAATGAAGAGTCTTTTTCTGTTGCTTCAGTTGCATAAGTCTAGCCTGGGAAAGGAAATGGTTCCCAAACTAAAAACACTGGTTTGGAAGTTCCCATATGTCCAGAGGTTTGCCAAGGAGATGCCACCTTAAACTTCATTGGTCTTAAAAATGTTAAATCTTTCCATTCTGAAAATCCTAGGAGCTGGGATGTTTGGGTTTTTTTCTCTGTCAGGAGTTTATATTCCATTTGGCCTGTCAAAATGCCTATTTTGAACATAGTATTAACAAAATATAACACCGCTTGTTTCTAGTCTTCCACTCCTCATTCTTTCCTGACACTGACGATGTTTTAAGGAACCAAGACTAGAGCAGGCAGTAAACATGATTTTGATGACTGATGTCTTCTGTACTGTTGTATACTTCAGAAAAGTGTTATTTCAACCTGTATGCATCATTAAATACAACAGTTGCTACAGTCATGAAAGAATCAAAGTTTGGAGGTTGGGAAATGAATTGTGACTGGCATGGATAAAGAGTTATTAATTTTTGTTCTTGGAAAGCTGATTACATTATTGACTATGTAGTGACTTTGTTGTGAACAAATATGGTAACCTAAAACCTTGGGTTTTGCACCTGAACAGTAGTTTTTTAAAATTAATATTTCAGTAATGAAAGATTTCCACTGTGAATCCTCTTGCATTTATTTTACCATTACATCTAACATTTGTATCTGCCTTTGTCAGGAAAAAATAATCTAGGATTAACTACTCAAAGGAGTATGTTCTTTGGTTATTTATCTTCATTAAAAATACTTAAATTAATGCAATTGACATTCTTCCACTCTTGTTACTACAAAAACTGCAGCTGGCTTCTATAGCAATGTCTAGATGTACCTATCAAGCTTAGAGACACATAGTGCTCAGGGGTTGACTGGTGGAGAAGGTGGGGATGGGCACTGCTTTATACTGCTATAATGAAATAGTTTTGCTGACATTTAGAATATGATATAGAGCAGGGTTTATTATTATTTTTTTTCAGGATAAGTACAGAGTGGTTTTCATCACTACTCTGCTGATAAATATTCTGAACAGGTTCTTGTTTGTTTGTTTTCTTATATTAGGTGTGGTCCTAATATCCCTTGCCCTCTGTGCGGATGCAGTTATAGGAAATGTACAGGAAAAAGCTATGAAGTTGCACAATGGTTCTAATTCAGAAATGGTAAATACCAGATTTGCAATTTAAAAAAAAAAATTCTGCCTTAGACAAGGCGTACAATGACAAAACGTGAAAGTTAATTTGCTTTTCTCTTGCATATATAAAGAAGAGGTCTTGGTGTACTGCTATGGGGGTTTTCTCTTTGTTTGTTTGGGGGCATTTGCTGGTTTTTTGTTTGTCTTGGTTTTTAACCAAGGGTGCTGCTTTCTGTATCCAACTTCAAATGTGTATTGCAGCTGTAGAAACACTCATTTCTAGCAACAATTTCTTTGTCTACCCTGCAGGCCTGAAATCAATTGAGTGTTTTCTGTATGATCATCCACTTAATTTCTGCAAAATATATACTTTTCTTCTGCTATAGATGAGCATGGAACACGTTGCTTTTCTTACTTGGTAGACTTGCAATTCTAGAGTGTGCTGGTGTTTGAGAGGCAACCGTCTTTGAGCTTTTGAAATCTGTAGAACTCTGACTTTCAGAATGGGTGAATATGTGTGTTCCTGATTCAGTGAGACACATAATTTTGAAAAAGTCTTGCTTGGTACTTTTTATATACATATTTGGAACATGGATTATCTGTTCGTATGGTCTGGCTTATTTTTTCTTTTTAGATAAAACTTGTGTTTGAATTTGGCATCTTTTTCTCTAAAGTTGACTAAATACAAGAAAATCTTTTGTTGTAACAGAGATTATTTGAATATATCACAAGTAAAAATATTATTTAAACTTAATTTTCACATTTGGCATGTATTTGACATTAAACTAGAAAATCCAGTTTCTCATTTATGAGAATAGCTTCATAAATGGTGAAAAAATTAGAAAGAAGCCTCATTTAAGGCAGAAAGTGATTTAGGTTGGCTCAAGAAGTTTGACCTGCAAGTTTCTGAAAAGTAGAAGAATATACCTGAAAAGTGTCACTGTATTCTTGTTTTTATTTTTGTACTTTTTCTTATTATTCACTGTTGACTGCTGCTGGAGGCAGAGATTTTAGCTACATGGACGTCACCTGACCCAGTGCAGCCTTCTATACCTGTAATCTCTGAAATCCAAAACAAAGTACAAACTCTAACTGTTTTCTTGCCCACTTGCATCTTGCCAGCAGTCATTTGACAGTTGTTAACTGCCTTACCTATGAAGCTCCTGTTATCTCCAGAACTTTGCTTTTTATTCTGTGTTAGTCTGACAAATGTTGGTCTTCATATTGTATTCTCTACAGAGAATCAGTGTAGTGATTAAGGATATAAAGGTTTTGTTTGTTTGAGGCCTAGCGATTACATTCCAGGATTTTGTTTGGAGAATTCAGTGCAGAAGTGCAAGCATAATAGCAGAAATAATTTTTCTAGACTTGAGGCTGGGTAAAAATTTAAGACATCTTCTGAATCAGAGATCATGTTTAATGGATGGAGATCTCAAAATAAAATTGAATAGTAAAGGAACCTGTCATCTCCAGGATCTCTGTTTTGTTGCCGAATTTGGAACTTGCCCTGGATTAAGCAATTACGAAAAGTTAAAAGATGCCTTGCAGCTGAAATAGTAACCACTGCTCTGGAAGATACCCGATTTTGCCTTGTGTGTGATTCTAAGGAAGTGATTTATATCGTACTGCCTAACAAAGAACTAGCAATGTGGTGCTTGTTCCTGGTTGTAAAAAGTGAGGTCTTTGGGTAGTTTGGGAAAAAAGCTGGATACAGAGGCAAATGAACAACTAGAGACTAACTTTTATGTGTACCAACACTGCAAAAAGGGAGCTCTGAAGATCAGGTCAATTGTTTATTAAGAGTTTGAAACCAGTCTGCTCTTGAAATGTATATTCATCCTCCTTTATTGCAGAGCGGTGAAAAGTGTTCCGTTGTCTCATGGTATTGTTATCAAATGTTAGTAGATTTATTTTTGCAAATAATTGAGATAGTATAACAAGAAAACAATTGATGAAACCTGTGTCAAAAGATGTAGGCCTGTAATTGATACAGAGTTTTGAAAGTATAGTAGATCAGCATGTTCTAGCTAGTAGAGTAGTTCTGTTCACTGTCTCCCTTTCCCACAAGAAAAGGCCCCTAGATGTTGCCCAAACAGCTGAGTGCCTCCCACTGCATGGGAGGATGTATGGATGGGTGGTTCCAGCTTCTGTTGTTGCCTCTACATGGGAAAGGGTAGGATGAAGATTCTTTTGTTGCTGTATGAAGCTGTGAATTAAATAACGGTACAGACAAAATGAAAAGATTACCTGTTTTCTGAGTATAGTTTGTTCTGAGTACTGAACTAGGCCAGAGCTGATCATACTTGAAAATCTTGTATGCTATAACCATAACGCAGGTGCACTGTGTACGTGCACTGAAGTGGCACAGATGAAACTTAGGTGACACTTCTGGCAGTTCGTGGTGATTATGTGCTACACGTTGCACATTTAATGTAGTATGGATCTTTACTGTGCAGGATAAGTGGCAGAAAAATAAATACATTTAACATATTATTCAAACTACGAAATTACATAGTTGTGTGGAGTTTTATTTAGGCCGTGAAATCCTGAATTTGAAGGGTTTACCTCAGTCAGCGTTGACCTTGGGATATTATTAACTGACTAGCTCACAAAACTTTTTTTATGTAGTTGTGGGTAGGAAGAACGTCTCTAACACTTCTTATTCACCTGTCACTGTACATCAGCTATTGCAGAAATCCTAATAAAAAAATCTTCAAACACTGGAAATTCAGCTCTGAGAAGTTGAGCATATTAATAGGGCCAAGCATTTGAAAGCATTTAATTTTGTCCTTTTGTATAGTATCACCTGGTAATTATTTTCTCTTAAACTGTTCTAGGTTTTGTATTCCTATTCAATAGGTTTTGTGTATATTTTATTTGGATTAACATGCACTAGTGGATTAAGCCCTGCAGTAACATTTTGCTCAAAGGTAGGTGTAAAGATTTCCTTTTTTCTTTGAAGAACTTCATCGGAAAACATTGCTCTCTATGGATTAAAAATCTCATCACTTCTCTAAAGTTGTATTTTCATAATATAAACAGGTTAATTTGTATAATTCATACATTAAATAAGTTGTTACAGTCTGATGTATAAGATAGGGTAATGTTTTAAAAAACAAAACAAAATCACAGGACCAGACTTATGAGCTTATGATTTCATTATTATTTTTCCATTATTTGACTAATATTAAGTAAGGAACTTTGCATGAATGCGTTGTTGAACAACTTATTATTGCTCAAGCGGTTGATTAAAGTCTGTAGTTTTATGTCATTTTGCAATACGTCAGGGTTTGTTTTACATTTTCCTAACAGGCTTTTTTTGTTGTTTTTGCAGCATCCACTTCAGACTTATGGTTATGCATTCCTTTTCTCCCTGACTGGGTATTTTGGCATATCCTTTGTTCTAGCTTTGATTAAAATCTTTGGTGCCCTTCTGGCTGTAACAGGTATGAACAAATGATATCTTTACTGCTTTTGGTATAAAAACATGAAGTAATCCTACTCTGTTATTTAGGACAGAGGTTTTGAGAATTGTTCTTACTTGCTCTTTTTTCTGTTCTTTTGTGCTGACTGATTGTGGTTTAGGTAGCATGGATCTTCACTAGTAGTAGGTGTTTGAGAGCTTCCTGGTTCTTTCTGTGCCACAGTTTCAACTGTGAAGAGCCTGTTAAGTAATCTTGTGCATATGGCCCGTGCTGTTTTAGTGCAGAAACAACACTGTTCTGAACAGAGGAATTGCAATGGAAATGTGTAGCAAGGTGTAAGGAAAAGATAGGTATTATTTGGAACATGGAAGGAAAAGTAAGGATATTCCAGTAAGGCATAGTAGACAGTGTCATAGTCTCTAAGCACAGAATTTCTGGAGATTTCCAACAAATGGTATTGCTAGAAAAACTATGAAGAACTCCCCCAAAGCTTCTAAATGTCCATATACGCTCAGTGGAATGCTGCTGTGGCAATGTTAAATGTACACTCCAGATGGTTCAGAAAGAACTCAAGTGGAACAAATTCTGACAAATTCTGACTTTTGTGGTGGTCTCAGTTCTTTTTATTAAACTGAAGGGAATAAAGGATGCGTATTAGTTTTGGATGTCAGGATTTGAACTAAACAAGCTTCTGGTGGGCTGTGTAACAATTGCTGTATTCTCTCTAAATTGCAACTTGTGTTTTCACGGGGCAGATACAAGCCTGTTAATGACAGAAGCAGACTGTCTAGTCTTTCAGATCTTCTTCTAGACTTCCAATGTAATTGTCCCACAAAAAATGGAAGCAGTCATGTTTTCTGTTAAATGCTTAGTACAGCATATGACTGTATCAACTATGTCAGAAGAAACAAATGTAAAGAACTCTGATCAGTAATATGTTGAAAAGATTTGGGCCACTCGCTGATGTGTATGCTAGCCACACGTGAATGTAAAACAATGTATGTCCCTAAAATATGTCAAAAGTTACTGGAATCCTCTCCAGGCCTAGAAGGTCACCAAATGGCATCTTGTGTTCTCCTGTGATGGTTCACGCACCAATAAAAAGTTTCTGTGATGTGGTGTTCTCACCTAATAATATAATAATTTCTTAGCAATAAATGCAAGTCAGACCTATCTGTGCTGACATGCTCCAGATGTGTGTCCAGATAGATGAGGAAAAGGAGGATGTGAAGCAAAAGGCAGATGCAACCATTATAGATTTTCAACCTTTATAGATATTCAGACTTGACTCTTATCCTGTATGCAACTGGACATATTCTTCATGTTGAGTAATCAGTCATCTGGAAAAAATCATGTTTAGAGACCGAAATCATGCTAGCTGAGATTGGCTGTCTGTGAATGAGGAAGCCACTGAGCACAATGAGTCTCAGTACTGTGCTGGGAAGTAATGTCATCTTGTTATGCTTGGTCTTTAGTAATACAATGGCTGATGTGTGCCTTAGAAACAATGAAAAGTGATAAAACTAAACATACTCTGTGTCGAAGGACAACTATATAGCTTTAAAGAAGGAAGTGTGTTCAGAGCCCATTTATACTTTGTCTGCCTGAGATCCTTAATGGAAGAAGCAATATAGAATATGATTAAATCAAAGGAATCACTAGTGAGACAGATGCAACAGAAATTGCTGCTCAGAAATTATTTGTACTAATTTATTGTGGCTTGCATCTGTATTTGTAAGGCCGTGGCATATTTTAGTATGCAGCGTTACCCAAGTGTGGCAAAGCTAGCTACAGCCAAATGACATAACTGTATTTTGAGTGAATGCTTTTAACCTGTATTATTATGAGTTTGTAAAACAGTCAAGAGAGTTGAAGTGTTTATATATCAGAATATCCTCAACTATTCAAATAAGGGGAAATGACCTTGCCATTCATTGTAACAACAGTTAATTGTAGTGTTAACATTTTTTATGTATCTAACAACACTAAAGGAAACATCTGACACTTGATCATTTTTCATCATCATCTTCTACACCTGTTTTCAGACTCTCCCTAAAATTATTACTCTTCACCATGTACAACCACTATAGAACATAAAATTGTTTGTGGAAAATTGTTGCTTCTTAAAATGTAACTTGAGTGTATTTTTCATAAATCAGTCATTGCCTATTTAGCATCTTCTATCATTTCTGTAGTTGTTACAGTAGTCTATCAAGAACAGTTATGCCAGGCTCATTCCTTCCCCAGGTTACCTTTTCTTAAAAGTTTTCATAACTACAAACTTTAGTCACAAGGACCTGGGGGAGGGGGGAGGTCTAGCAAGATGCCGTGGAGCTACTTTCTGCTCTTCCCTTTACCCCTAAAAATTTACCCCCTGGTTTCTGTCAGATGACACTCTACGTCATTCGCAGTAGCGGAGAGGAAAATATAGACAGTTTTTTTCAGACCTGAGGATTGCATGCTCTGATTTCCTATTATTTATTTCCTCTGCAGCACTTCTATTTCACGTTTGTTTTTAGCAAAGTTCAGTACATCTTCTGACTGGAAATTGGCCCAGATGAGAGAGTTGGTTCATGTATTAAAATAGCTCTTAAAAAAAAAAAACAAACAACAAAGTCTTACTGTGCTAAAAAATGTTTTAAAATTCTGTGGAATACCAAACTCTTCCCAGGTTTTCTTATGCCTGACCTTGACAATCCTAACACTTGAGCCCGTTCTGTCTTGCCTGTAGCAATGTGAAAATGTTTATTGTGCCTTGGAAGAACACCACATTCATTACTGTCCCTCCCACCCCCCATCCACCCTCCCCCTTCTTGGGGAGGAGTGAGGTGAAAGAGTTTAATGAAAATTGTATTTCTATTAGCAGAATGAGAAATTATCAGACTTAATTGGGAAAAAGAAGAAAAGGCACTTAATTTAGAAGGAAATGGTTACATAAATATTTTAATTAATAACTGATTTGAAAGAACAGAAATAATCGTAATTAGAAAAACTGAAGTAATTTAACCATTTTTTAAATTATTCATCTGTAAACTGTTTTCTAATTAAAACTCAATTTTCTTTTTCATTCTCCTTTAATTTTTCATGTAATAGAAAATAATTTTATTTGATGCGCATAAATTTCTTAAAATGTAAAGAAAATTTTTACTAAAAAATTGAAATTGGGGCAGATATAGCAATGGTGAGGGCTATTTCTTTTGCTACAACACATGCTTTTAAGTAAATATTTGTTTATGGGGGAGAGTTGGGGAGAATAAAACTTGCTTTAGGAGCCATAACAGCGTGAAAAACATCAGTAGTCATTGGTTCCTTTTGTCAGTATGTTGCAGTAAGACTAATGTGGATGTAGTTATACAAGTAAGGCTTTCCAGTATAGTATAATAAAAAGTACTTCATGGTAAGCAAAATATTTTCTGTTAATAAAAAAAATAGTTTTCTTTCAGTGCAGACAATTGTACTGGAGTCTTTCTTAAGTGAGAAGCCTGCACTATCATATAGAATAACACCTTCTCAGGCCCTTAACCTCCATAGCTAAACTGGTACACCTGGCTCTGTTGTTACTTTTTTTTAAAAAAAAAAAAATATATTTTCTATAACTTTACTCATTTATTGATTTTTGTTTCAGTGATAAACTGTATAGGTTTCCCAGTATACAATTGGCTGGCAACAGTGTATTCTTGTTCATAGCAGATAGCATTGAAATTGTTCAAATAATTGGTGGAGCTATAGTTAATTTAAGAGTAATCCAAACATATAGTTTACTTCCATTTTGGTAACAGGATTATGTTCTCAACTCTTCTTACTACTTTGATTCTTTCTAGTTGTAAGGTCTCTTAATGTTTTTGATGAAAACTTCCCAATGCAATTGTTGAAGGCAGACATCCTTGGTCTCTTAGGTTTCTAAACAAAATTGTATTTCTCTGCACTGTTAGGTAAATTTTCAGTAACTTCAGAAAAATGACAAGATGATGATCCCATTCCACTTAAAAAAATAAAGCCCGAAACACCACTGAACTGTAATAACATGAGGTGGAAATGGCAAGAGATTTGGTATATCCTAACAGTGATGCCACTTTTTTTCTGCTTTAACAGATTAGTTTATACCATCAGTTACTTGCAAGGATTGTTTGTTGCTTTCAGATATTTTTGAATTGATTAGCATGAAGCTATTAAATAGCAAGTCTTGTTCTGGAAGTTTCTCTGCTGCAGATACTGTGACTGGAGCTGATGCTACTGATGCAGTGTACTTGTTTCAAACGGCATATGGTTCTAGATCTGTTTTGCACTGGACTAGTGTATCTGCAGTCTGTGTTTACACTGAGGATGATCATCGTTTTAGCCGGACACTTAATTATGTAATGAGGTTATCTGCTGATATTGAAGCCTATATTATGTTATTTTGCTGTAACTGAATTTTTACAGAAGTAAATATTTGTTTTCCTCTGCAGTAACAACAGGAAGAAAAGCAATGACCATTGTGCTTTCTTTTTTGTTCTTTGCAAAGCCATTCACATTACAGTAAGTATTTATAGTTTTAAATGGGTTTTTATACATTTTATAAAAAAATCATGTTCTTGATCATGGGAATATAACAGCATTAATTAATCATATTCAGGCTTTAATGCTTTTCATTTTGTATCTTCTACAAATGTTGGTAATCTGCGGTAAATATTGACTGACTTGTTGATGCTCATCATGCTAGAGAAACTAGTTATCATTTTTCTAAAGGTCTGAAAGACAAGCTCCTCCATGTGTTGGGATTTTTTTGTTGTTTTTTAAGAAAAATCTTACATAATATCTAGTGCTTATGATGCTTAATAAATTGTTTAGGTACTTTCTCTATGGAGGAAGATTCAGCTAAAGGCAGGCATTTTCTTCATTACGGTATTGTTTCCCCTTTTATGAGCTCAGGTTCGAGTTCTTAGCTAGCCCTTTTAAATAACTGCAAGCATCTATTATCTTGATACATTAACTTGCAAGATTTTTGAGCTTGAGTTTCTTCCCTTTTTTAATTTCAAGGAAGGACTTCCATTGAATAATGCAGCTAAGTTGCTACATTGATCCTAATTGCTCTGGTTTGAAACAAAACAGTATCCAATTTCATTGCTATGTATAAATTTAGTTGAGATTTAAGAACAAAGCTTACAGCCAAATGCCCAAATGGGGCTAAATTTCTTGAGGCTTAGAATAATGGAGAGCTGAAACAAAAATGTCCTTACGTTGGGAAGTATGGATATAAGGCACTGAGTGAGAACACGTTTTGGACCAGTAATAGAGAGTATAGCTGTCATAACCGTAGGAAGGAAAAACGTACTAAAACCCCTTAGGACTACTTTATTCATGTAAGAAAGAACAGCTACTGTTTAGTTATTATTTAACTATAAATGCACCTTAATAAGCTCTCCAGCCAGGACAGGAAAAGGAAGGGTGGAAGGATGGTAATATAAAGATTCAGGCAAATTCTTTCTCAGAGTCCGCTAATTTGTGGTTTGTATTATTTTTTTTTCCTGAACTCTTCTCTCCTTAATGTAGAGGCTTTATTTTTATTTAATCCAGAAATACTGGTATGTAATAGCTACAGATAAATTGCTAACGGTAACTTTTTTTCCCCTCCTCTCCGTCCCTTTTAGGTACGTGTGGTCAGGCTTACTGGTTGTCCTTGGTATATTTCTTAATGTTTACAGTAAGAATATGGATAAAATCAAACTGCCTTCACTGCGTGGTCTTTGGAAAAAAAGTGTGGAAGAAAGAAAAACAAGGACGTTGTCGCAAACTGTATAGACAGTGGTTTATGCCTTGTCTAGACTATGACTTACTATTATTATTTTATTGGAACAGTCTTCAACTGATTCACTTTCCAAAGGGAACATTATTAAAACCAAAGGAGCTGAAGGCTTATTGTCTGTTTGCAGATTGCTAGAAATGCACATTTTTGTGAGCCCTTTCTTCAGAGCACTTGAATTCATCGTAAAAGGTGTTGTAGGCCATTGTCAGGTGGCTTTATCAGGCAATGAAGGACGGCAGCTCCTGGCAAACTGCTAAGAAGCTGCACTCCAAGTGGGACACAGTAGAAGACTAATTTGGGCATTTTAATAATATTGGCCTTGTGGCTGATCTGAGATCAGTGGTTCTTTGTTAATTGTTTAAGTGGGGTAATTTAAATGTAGTACTGTATTAACATTTAATGGAACCTAATCAGCAACTGGTTGACCAAATTGCGATTTTAAAGGTGGAAGGTTTAGAATATGTTATTTTGTCACTCTTTTTCATTTTGAATAAAAATGTTGGGTTTTTTTTAAGTTATTGATTAGATCATCACAGAACTTGGTATTTATTATAATAATTGAAATTGTTACGGAAATCTTACGGTGTTACTCTTTTTGATTATTGCTTGCAAGTAACAAAAATGAGATTGAATTTGTGCAGTCAACACCCTTGCTTTTACAAGGGGGGAATGGGCCTCTAGACCTGAGCAGGGTGAGAGCACAATGAAAAAGTTGTGAGTGGAACAATGGTGTAAGAAGCTATTATTTGCTTATTCTGTGGTGAAATGCAAAATTTTTAGTGGCCTGTGGCCCTGCATATCGTACTGGTGTAAAGAGACATAGAAGTCCTTTAAATTATTATCCTGAAATCAAAACTCTTCATTTTCAGTATTGGAGTAAAGAATAACAGCATCTACTAATGTATTTGGAATATGTATTGTGTCAGTCTTTGTGTGGTCCTGTGATGAACTTAAGAGGATTAGGGTACAGATTATAATTTTCTTTATTTAATGACAGGAGGAGACAATGTACTACTAATCTGTCTCTTTCATCATGAATTTAGGAAGACTTAGTCCATTTATCTCTTTTACTTTCATATTCAACTTGCTTTTGAATCTCTTGCCATCTCTTTCATTTTATATATTTAACAATAGCACTTTAAAAATACTAATCACCTTACAGTTTATTGTTTTCATGTGGTCATGATTTTTTTGTTGTTGTTGTGTGCCTTAGATGCATCTTGTTGTGTGTTCGTTCAACTTAGGCAAAAGTGAATTGGATAATAGAATTGTATAGTCAGGAAGAATGTACAAAGAATGGAAATATCTTACAGGATTGCCTTCTGCCAAAAATACTAGTTTATGAAAGTATTCAAAATGTGCAAAATGTTTTTCAAACACTTAGGAAGAATTGCTGTTCCAAGGAGCTTGTAATCGAAGCACAGACACAAAATGTGCCTTAAATTTTGCTTATTGAGTTGGTAGCTAGCATACACCAAATTAAGTATGTCATAAAATAGAACATGGAATAACATAGCCATCTTAGCATGATGGGACAAATAAATGGAGGGCAGAGCTGTGCTAGCGTAACTGCAGTTTCCGGCACTCAAGCTACTCTCTTGTGTCAGCAAAGCCTTTCAACCCATATACAACCAGTGTTGCCAAGTTAGGAGAATTTATTGCGTGTGATAATTTTGTTTTTTAAATTCACAGCTGCTGCATGATTGATTGTGTCCTGGATAAGGTAGAAAGGTGTGAATTTGATGAACAGATACCTCTTGAAAGAGAAGGATGGCCTGCCATGGCTATCCATGTTCATGTTGCAGCCAAAGTTTTATGATAAGATAGGAATAGGGTTAGAGTTTCAAATTTGATGTAAGAGTGCATTTGTCCAAGGCAAAGGGATTGATACACATTTCTTTCCTCGTAATACTTGTCAACTCTTATATTCACTTGCATTCTTTTCACTAAATGAAGTTGCTCTTTCCAATGAGGTTAAGTTACCTGTCAAGCTTAAAAGAGGGACAGTTTTTGAACCATTGAAAAGAAAGTAATTACAGAACATTTACTGCTCTGTTCACTAGCTTTGTGGAACTTGGTAATTAGCATTTGAGCATCATTTTGACAAGTTTTCAGTCTCAGTTTTGCCATCTATAAACTCTTGTCTGTTGCTAAACTTTATTGAACTTCAGGAAACCAAATTATGTGAAAGCTACCATACATGCAGAAAGTCATAGTAAATATAATTAGTTTGGCATCTGTTTTATATAAATAGATGAGACATCACTCCCAAAGATTCTGACTAGAATTCAAATGTAGTATGTAGGTTGCTGAACTGTATATATAATCCAGTTTTGTCTCTATTTTCTCTCTTTGGAGAGCATAGTGTTCACAATAATTGACCTTTTAATTTATTCACAATTGTATGCAAGTTTGAGTTAATGGAACACACGATAGGTGAAGTTTTATTTTTTTATTCATTTTCTTTTTCTTAACTATTTGTTTTACAAGCGTACTTTAAAAATATTTTTATACACAATATTGTAGGTTTAGTGTTAATGGCATAAATTTAAGAGTCAGATTTTTATTTTCTTAAGTGTGAATCTAGTACGTGCTAGTCAACAATATACAAGTGTGTTAAAGAAAATGCACACACAAGTGAGAGTAGTTCATAATTTGCCACCTGTCATGGTCTGTGCAGTTTCATGCTTTCATTGAGAGGTTAAGAAAACCTTTGTTTCAGTGACTTGCTGTTTCTGGGTTATTCTTTTTTTTTTTTTTTTTTAATAAGCTTTATTGTGCATGCAAGTAGGAGAACCTTACAAACATCCAAGTGTTCTTAGTACAAAATTTTGTTTTAGGATCATCTGTACTGTGTATGTGTCTTGGTTTTGTGTTGTCTATGAAATATGAATAAGGGCTTGTCCGCAAAGTAACTGTAAATTCTTTGTATTTCATGTAAGAGCACTTACATTGGGGTGTTGGTTAACCCTTCCTAATGTTGCTATGTAGGCTGATCATAATAACTTCTGCATTTTATACTTATTGGCTCCTGGACTCTTTACAGTAGGCATTATGAAACTACAGGAAAAAACATTCATTCTGTCACCATAGAATTTAGTATCTAAATATAACGTGAATTAGTTGCTTCTTATTCTTATGCTACACAACTTTCTCCTCTCTACAGTAAAACTGTGATATACGAATTAGTTATAATGGGATTCAAGTTGACACTAAAATTTAAGGCTGCCCAAGGTCTCCATTGATGTCAGCAGTCTACCTCTGTGACATCCTCTACTTCTGCCTCCTTTGGAGGACTGGGGGAGCTCTGTTTTCCTAAATCAGAATGCATTTGCAGTTGCTTTCACATTACATTTTTGCATTTATTTGGCACACTTGAATGAATACTGAAGTAATTGACTGTGCAGTGGATTTCTTCAGTATTTCAGTATGTCAGTTTCGTTGGACTAATTATTCAGCTACTCATATGTGAATACAAGTGTGGAAGAACTAATGCTCTGAACTCCCCTCCTCAAACCTACAGTGTTTCCTGATACTACGTTAAACTGTTCTTCTTAATCTTATTTTACCACTCATGTGCTTTGAACTTACCAAACATTTTAAGCTAAAACTTAGACATACTTAGTCATTCCTACTTGTCTTCCTTACTTACTTGTCTTTCTTATTTTTGGATGCTAACTCCCTTTTTAACATTGTGGATGCACTATGGATTGTTTCAGGTTTCAATTCCTGCATTTAAGGGATCACATCATACTATTACAGATTGGTCGCATTGCATATTTTCTGCTTCGTATCAGTTATGACTGTCTGGATGATTCTTTTAAATCTTTTTTTCTCCGTGAAAAAAAATCTTTCCTTTTATACTTTCTGTTTATTTCTGGAAGGGTCTTGATGAGTCCATGTATGAGTTAACTCCTTGACCTCATTCCATCTTCCAAGAAAATCTCTTTTCTCCCTTGCTTGCCTTTGAGAACTAAAGGAAGAGGAAATAAATTATTGCAAGTGCTCTTTTTTCTTTAATAAGTGCCTTCTTTACTAACCTGGTTTGTCTTAATTGTTTATTTTCTTTCTGCCTCCCATGCTCCCAGGCACAGACAAGCCCTTCTCTTGTGTTTGACCACTGCTTGTTCAGTCATGGAAAGTTTTTGAGTTGTTTACTGTTCAGAAAAGAGGTATAGAATTGCATGTGCACTCTGGAGGGCAGGAAATAATAAGTAAACTTCACACGTTAGGGAAGTAATTATATGGATTCATACTTTTTTTCTGGAGGGATTTTATATATGGTTCAGGTAATAGCTCAGAATTTGTTAGTGGAAGAGTTTTATTTTCTTTTACATTTTACCTGTTTAAAAATCTTAATATTTAATATTAAACTCCTGACTATTCCGGCAGTTTATAGAGATTAATTTTAGTCTTGCCTGCGAGGCAGAAATATCCTATCTCCTTTTCACTTATGAAGCAGAGATCGTAACTTGCCCAAAGTTGACTTAGTAAGTCTGTGATGAGCAAGGAATAGATGTTAATACCTTCAGTTATTCTATGCCCCAAGTCCAACAGAGCCCTTCTGTACCTGAAGTGAAACAGTACCAATGTAAGCTCAGTTTTCTTTTACCCTAGTATTAAGAGATTTTAAATTGTTTCTGTTCTGTGTTCTATGCCAGTATAATTTAAAGTGAAATTAAAACAGCCATAAAATAGGCTTCCTGCATTTCATTTGAAGTTTCTTCTCTTTGTGTGCATTGTTATTGTCTTGTTGATTGGTTCTGTTTTCTGTGAACAGTGTTATGGAAACAAGCCAGAGAGTAGCAGTCATAGGAGATGCATAATATCTTTCACTTTCAGGTGGCTGGTCTGAATTTAGTTCAACTTGCTGCTGGTCAAAAGCTGCTGCCATTGGAAAACTGAGGAATTGTCATAACATGAGGAATTGAGCATAATGATGTCATGCCAGATCTGTATCTTTTTGCCATTCACTTGTAGAGAAGCAAAGACAGTAATGCAATAAATAACATTCATGCACAAATACTCAGCTTAGAACATAATGCTGACTTAATGCTTCATTTCGATACCTGGATCAATTTCTGCTGTTTTGCTGGTTTTTCTTGAGGTATGATAGTAATGTATTGCTCCTCTATACTTTTGAATATTTTTTTTTTTCTTTGTTAGATTTCTTGGTTTTATGCTGCTGCTTCTCTTGGTTTTTTTAAGTGTAAAGTTTTACCTTGTAATTTTCATTACACCTGTAGTACTGTGTCCAGTTCTGGGCTCCCCAGGACAAGAGAGAGAGAGGGCTACAGGAGAGGGTCTGACAAAGGGACACAAAGGTGATGAAGGGACTGGAGCATCTCTCTTATGAAGAAAGACTGGGAGAGCTGGGACTGTTCAGCCTGGAGAAGAGGAGGCTCAGGGGAATCTCATGTATGTATACAAATACCTGAAGGGAGGGTGCAAAGGGGATGGAGCTAGGCTCTTCTCAGTGGTGCCCAGTGACAGGACCAGAGGCCGTGGG